TATGCTGAGCCCAAGCTGCAAGGTCACTGTGTGGGCAGAGTCCCAGGTCTCAGCTCAGGCTCTGTTTATATTTAAGGCAACTCATCCTGTCTCACCCCAAGGGCCATCCAGCCTCGAGTCCTGCCTGCAGCTGCTGGGGCAGGCAGGGGAAAGGAGGTTCCTCTCCCTGCTTGCTGGGTCTGCCAGGTTGGTTTATGTAGGTTCTGCATTCCTGTTTCCCTGTGCAGGATAAAACACAAAGCCCTGGCTGACACCAAAACCCACGCTGTGCAGAAGGGAATGTGTGTTCCAGCTGGGAGAGAGCTCCCAGAGATGCAGGTTTGGGAACTCCTGGGAGACAATGCTTTGGGGCACTTCATTTAACAATTGCCAGGTCTCCCCGAATTTTCCTTGTCCCTGTCTGACCCCATTTACAGCCTTGTCCACGTCCTCAGTCAAGAAACGGGAGGAGAGGCAGCAAAGGGACAGAGCAGTGCAGTTCTCAGGGCCTGGATGTGGTGACTGCCACATGCAGGGGCTGCTGCCAGCCTGATGCCCCATGGGGCAGCCAGAACCAGCCACTGCCCAGATGTCATTGCCATGTTCATGAAGCACGTGGATTGTCAGGAACTTTCTCCCAAAAGGCAAAGAGTGCTCCTTTTAAATAAAGCCTGACAAATGGCATCTTGGGGGCGTCAAGTCCTGGAGCAGTGTCTTCCAAAAAGTATGAAAAGGCCCTGGAGGGGAGCCTGGCACAGCCTCCCAGATGACAGTAATTAAAGGCTTTTGCACTCAGGCACTGGGAGCTGCTCCTCTTGCAAATTGGTCTCGATTGAAGAGGAAGAGAATGATTGGGCTGAAGGGGAGTGATGGGGGTGGCAGGCAAAGAAAATACGGAGGTAACTCTCAATTTGCCTTCTGATTTTTTTTCCCTCTTCCTCTCTCCCAAACGGTGTCTGTGTGGGTGGAGGGAGCAGTGCTCCAGCTCCACACAGCCTGGGCTGGCTCTGCCTGAGCGCTCTGGGGAGGTTAAGCTGAAAAGGAGCAGCTCTGCCCTGGTCCTGCCCACGCAGCCCCAGAACATCACCCAGTGTTTCCTGCAGCTGGCCCTGTTCTGGAAAGCTCTCCTGGCTGAGTGGCACCAGGCTCACCCATCCTTTTGCAGAGCTGGAAAAGCAGTTATCCCCTGCCCTGGGTTATTTATAGCCATTGCTCCCAGCAAGGACCATACCACCATACTCCCAGTAAAGCTGAGGGGTTACAGGTCTTTCCTCTATTTTAATTATAAAGAGGATATTGATAGCTTGTTTAATCCAGGCTTTGCCATTATATGTATTTTAGACCCTTGGTTTTTATTAAGTTACCTGAATCTATTTAGGTTCAGTGCTAAGCCCTGCATCAGTGTGAACAGTTCCTGAAGGGTAGGTGAAGGCATAACAGAAATTTACTCCCTTCCCTTCCTAAAGCTGTGTCCCTTCTTAGACCCACAACCACCAAAGATGTCCCAGCTCTGGCTGGGGTCCTCTGTGGAGCAGTTTGTGTTGAAGTACTTGGAGAAATTACTGTGCTGCGAACATGGATGCTCCAAATCCATGGATGCTTCACCATGCAAGGCCAAGGAACTGGTCCAGAATTCAACCAAGAGCCTTTGACCTCTGAGCCAAGGCCATTAACAGTCAGGTAAAGCAACTTAGCTCAGGCTGTGGCAGGACAGAACATCTCTTTGGCCATCTGTGAGGGAAGGTAAACAAAGGATTGATTGAATGCAACTGTAAAAACTCCAGCAGTGAGTTTTTGAGCAGGCAGCCTTGTTCAAGGAATCTGCTGGCCCAGTCTGCAAATGGATTCTCTCATCTGGGTCCAGTACTGCAACTACCAAACCCAGTGGCCAGACTCTTTGTGGGAAGATGGGGAAGCAGGCTCTGCATGGCTCTGCATTTGAAGCTAAGTAGTGAGCTGGGTCTGGTGCAGCAATTGTGTTTGTTATAGAGTAATAATTCTGCAGGGTTACCACGAAATTCAAAACTGCTTATATGAGATGCAGGCTGATGCAGAGGCAGGGCAGCAAACCACTGGCAGGAAAACACCCTGTTGTGTTGGGGCAAACCTTGAATCACAAAGGTGATGTGACCAACTGCCCCTGTGTGCTCTGCCACGGCCCATTGCCAGGCCCTGCAGTGGCACTCAGCCACCATCAATCCTCGCTGGCCTTTCAGAGGGGAAGCTGTTTGCAGGGGGGAGCAGGGTAAGTGAAAGAGGCAAAACCAGACCGGGTTCCTGTGTGAGCAGGGCTCGCAGCACCGGGTCATTCAGCACAGCAGTGCTGTGTACCCAGAGCCCCACGCACAGCAGCCTTTGTGCTCTTCAGGTCCACTCCAAAAACTACTCAAAGCCCACAGATGATTCCTGAGCTTTGCATCCGGCCTCAAATACTCCACTAACCACCTGTAAAATGTCGCAGCTGTGAGCAGCTGTGAATTGCCAGAGGAGCACCTACATGATGCTGGGGGGTGACAGCACCCCAGTGCCATGCAGCCATGTGGGGACACACTGGCCTTGAGGGAGGATCAGTGGCACCACGTTCCAGTGGGGCTGGATGCTCCTTTGGGCAGGGTGTGCTGCTTGTGGTGCTGCAGGATCACATCCCTGACTGGTTTTCCTTCAGAAGGTGGAGAAGAAGAGAGCACATTTTCTCCACCAAACCAGAAGTAAAGGTGGATTCTCTTTCCTCTCCAAAGCACACAGGTTTGGTCCCTACCCTGCTTTGCATTAACAAGGGAGCAACAGCATCTTGCAGCTCCTTCCCATTATCCCCATTCAAACCATCCTGGATCCCAGTTTCAGCCAGATTCGCCAGTGGCTTCAGCTAATTGTGTCCTAAAACAGCGCAATAAAACCTCCAGAAAATAATTTTTTTCATTTCCACATGCTCCTCCACAGCTGCCTGCAAGCCCTGTGTGGCGCTTGGCTGCAAGAGGTTCCCTGGGACTTACAGGGAAGAGCTGCAGAGGGTGGAAAGAGGGGTCCTTAACCCCCCCAGTGCAAAAGGCACCTTTGTGGCCCTGCTGCTCCTCTCTGCAGGTTATGCACTGGTGTGACTCGACAGCAGATGACAGAGGTTAGGACAAGGCCTGGGGTGGCTGGGATGCTGTTGCCATGGAAATCACCCGGTGTCTGGAATAGCAAGAATGAAAGCAGCTCAGAAAGTAATGATCTGTCACATCGATTAAGGGGGAGTTGGAGGGATTTTGTTTGGGGAAAACCTCGTGTTTCAAGTAATACGAATCCATATGCCACATCTCCCTGTTTGCCTTTCCCTGAAGGGCTCTGTCAACAGGAAATAATCTGATTTGTTTTGACCGGCGGTTTCTCCAGGGAGCACCGACACGGTGCCTGCCCATCAGCTGTGCTGCACAGCTCTGCCATCCTGGGATGAAAGGCACCAAGTCAATGCAATATTCATTCACTTCCTCTCCCCTCCTTCATTCATTTCTTCTTCCATTCATCTGCTTCATTCACATTTCCCTGGCACTTTAATGAGCAGTGCTTAGCCCCTGCAGCCTGCAGAGCCATCCCCTGGTGCTCTGTGCTGCAGATGGCTGGTGCAGGCTTAGTGATGCTGCAGGGCACAGCTCGGGGTGGCTGGAGCAGGGCAGTGCCCAGCTGGCACTTGGATCTCTAAACCCCCCACAATGCCCCCTGGGTTTTGCTGTTCCATCTTTCACATCTTGGTGTGATTTCCATGCCACCCACCTCCTGTCCTCTCCATGGGAGCCGTTGTGGCACCAACACCCGTGCCCTGGCAGCCCTCCTGGGGGCAGGGGGTGGCTTGGGGGCAGGTGGCACGGCTGGGGAAGCAGGAGGGAGCCCAGCATGGAATGGGCATGACTGGAGAGCTGGTGCCAAGCACTTGGTGCAGGGCCAGAGCCACAAGCACAAACGTCCTCGGGGCTGAGTCACTGCCCACCTGCTCCTGCCATGCCGCTGCCTTTGTGGCACTTGAGGAGCATAGGGTGACTTCTTTTTTTCTCTGCCCCACGTCCTGCTCTCAGAGACCAATTCATCAGGGGCAGGTGGGTAATAGCCCCTGCGTGAGCTCTGGGTTTAGACCAGGGCAGCAGAGCTGTGGGCCAGCAGATACAGGGCAAGCAGCCAGACCCCCCAGTGTGAGCAGCTTGGGCAACAAGAGGCCACAGCCACGTGCAGGAGCAAAGCAGGAACAGCAGGAACCTGCACCAGGCACAGGCAAGCTCCTGGTTTTAGGAATTTTCCTCAGATAAGCATGGCTCAACTCTCCTGTTGCCCAGTGTTGAGCACTCACAGGGTGTGGATGGGGGGAACAGGCATATCTGTACCTCAATGCCCTTTTTTAACCAGAAACAGGCTTGCGTTTTCCCCCCACTGATATGCAAACAATTCTCTTGAAGAAAAGAAAAGAAAAGAAAATGCTTGGGTACCAGCTGGGTAGAAATCCAAGAAAGATTAAAAGAAGAAAACAAATTTTCCTATTCATGATCTCAGCAGTGAATAACGACCCCTTCCTCCCCCAGCCCCAGCCCCCTCTTGCTGTGAGTGCGGGTGAGCTGTACTCTCCAAAGAGCCAAGTGCATTTCTGAGATGAAGGAAGCAAACAGAAAACATCCGCTCTCTGTATAATAGAGAAAGCTTTCTCTTTTGTTCCCTGCTTTTTATCAAGTATCTGATGCCATTATTGTTACTCACTGGGTTATTACCTCCGAGTGGCTACTTCCACCAGCACAAGCTGGTTTATTGTCTGCTCAGAGCAATTATGGATTGGGATTATTCCTGCCATGCTGTTTCATTGTGGAAGGATCTGCTGTGTTCCATGGCCAAGGTAACTTGAGGTGATTTGTGCTGCTGAGTTACCCATCCAGTCAATTAGGAGTGGGTGACTGGTGCCTCACTGTATGCTGGGACAGAAGGAGCAGCAGAGGCTGAACCCAGGCATCTTCTCAGTTTTCAAAGGAAAGTTTGTTCAGTGGAGCAGACACTGGGTTAGGTTTTTTCCCAGGACTAATTCATCTTTATTTGCTGTTTGACAAAATGTTGGCCAATGCATCCTCCCTCTAAGGGTGTGGGACCCCAGTGCTCTGTGTGTGCAGAGCACAGGAGTGTCCCTGCAGGAGGATTTGCAGTCTGGTGGAAGACACTCGCTGTCCGGCTCATTACTCATCTATGAGGCCATTTATTTCCTCATCCTGTGAAGCAGAGAAGAGGAGGAAACTGTTCCTTGGTCTGGTCAGAATTATTCCCCCTTGGGAACTGCCTCACCTGGCTGGTTGGAGAGGCAAAATGCAATGAAAATGCTTCTCTGAAGCCTGCAATCAAGACCTTGTTCTGGGCCTCATGCATCTGTGCAGATCAGAGCCCCAGTGCTGTCGTGCTGCCTCTTTGAACTGGGGGGAGTTTCACCCCAGGCAGGAACACCTGGATTCATGGCAGAGGGCTCAGCCTGCAGGATGCAAAAGTACCTGGTTATTTTCATTTCTTTGATACCTGATCTACTATCAAAACAACTTATTTCTTTCTCTTTTACTTCCTAGGAATCCCAACAAACTTGCCACTGGCAAGAACATTTATTAGTGAGGCACTGCCAAATCCCCCAAGCTGTCCATGCACAAAGGGGTTGGGTGATCCCTCGTGCAGCCCCCACAGCTGCAGCAGGGCTTGGCACAGCGTTTCTGCTGAAGATGTGAGGGTTTGGTCCTGCAGGAGCAGCTGCATGGGTTTTGCAATGCAGGCACTCAGGTTAGTAACAATGTGTTTATACATTCACTTTGTAATAAATAAACAAAAAAGTGTGACACTTTTAATCCCTTGCTAAGGCAGTGACACATGCATTTTTCCCACAGTTAGTAACCCGTGGATTAGGAAGCCATGGTTTTTATTTATTTTTAATAGCACACCATGAGGACAGATTAGCATGAAACTATAATGCCATCACATGGTCTCCAAATCCTCTGTGCCAAGACCCCATCCAGGTTCAGCACAAGCAGCAATGAGCTTTTCAAAGGAGGCTTGATGATAAGAAGTGCTTTTTCTTGCTGGCTTAGAAACTCTAACAAACAGGGTTAAATTTCTAGAGTTGTATGTGTGCAGAGAACATTTTGAAAGGACATTGTTCAGTTATTTACTCCACTTTTAAGCTTGTCTGGCCTGCACCTGACACAGAGCAGTTCTGCTGGATCCAGAGCTCTCTCAGGTTTGCTGCTCAGCTCACACCCTGGGCCAGGTCAACATTTGCCCATTTCCCAGTATTTTCTTGAGCAGAGCATGGCTTCACACTTACTTTGCTATTCAATTTTGGCTCATCTGAGTTCTCAGATATTCCCTTCTGCAAGAAATTGATGGCTCAAACTGATCAGAAAGGACACAAAGATTTCACTCCTGTCCTGCCACAGGTTGGACCCTGGCAAATGTCATTTGGGGTCAGGACACAATAGAAAGCCACCTCCCTCCTGCTCCTCTGCTCTGCCTCTGGTTCAGTAGTCTCTAAGGGTCTGGACATCCATCCTGAAGTTTCAAAAAAATCTTCCTGGTGTTCTCCCTTATTGGTCTGAGTTCCCAGAGCCAAGGGACATGGTGTGTGGCCCTCAGCATTTGGGGTCTGGAGGACAGCTCAGCCTTGCCTCATGGAGGGGCAGAGAGCAGGCAGGACTGTGGCTCTGCTGCTGTCCCTGCTGCCTCTTTCCCCATCAGCCATGTGAGACAAGTTCCCCTTTTCTGCTCTAAACACTGCCTGGATCAAGGTTTCACAGCTACTCTGACCATTCCAGAGTGCACCAAGGCAGGACTGATTTTCTCCAGAGGTAACAGTGTGCCTTAGTGGATCACAAGATTCGAGGATGACTTGGGAGACACGTGGAAGCCAACATCCACCTGCCAGCTCTGGATGGGCTCCCTCTGCTTTGAGGCAGTAACATCTCAGGTCCAGACCAGCACCCAGCAGTGGCACCTTGGCAGTGAACTTGAGGAGATCTCCAGCAAATGGAAGATAGTGAAGGTCTCCAGAGACTTTTCCTACATAAGATTGTTGTCTTACATCTCTTTGCCCTCATATTTTTGGCTCCTGGCCTGCCTGCTCAGCTTCTTTGCCTTGCCTCCAGCTCCTGAAGCAGCCCCAGGGCTGGGCATGCTGCCTGCAGGTAACTCCTGAGTGCCTATCTGTATTCATGGAAATAATCCTATCAGGATCTGATGGCATTTGTAAATATTTGCATTTTGTAAGGAAATACCCTGTTTAAACATAGGTTGATATTAATTCCATCTTCTTTGCATTTCCCCACATCCTTGAGCTCCGTTCACCAGCCCTGGCCCCTGAGACAGCTCTGTTGAAAGCAAATATGTCAGTCTGCACTGCACAGGGAATATTTTAAGGTTCTGAAAACAAAGTTTCTTATAGCAAAGCTGCCAAAAGTGTAACCACTGCCATGCTAAAATATCCTCTGCCTCCTACATTTGTAACGTGGGAGTCTTTTATATCCTCTTTACTGTTGCTGAACCGTACATTTGTATTGGCAGCAGACGTATATAGACTGGGACCTATTTCAGTGTCATGCAAAAGAGCTCTTAGGTTAAAAGATACATTACAGCTTACTGGAAAGCTTGAAATTAACTTTGTGATGATGCCACATGAAGATAAAGAACCAGCAATTTTATTGAATTAAGATTTTATCCATATGGGCTGAAGATTTGAACTGTATTAACATCTCCAAAGGTCTCCAGTTGCCAAATTAACTATTGAGGTTTTGGGCAACTAGTTTGAGACAGAAAAAAGGACCAGATTTAACTGTTTCCAGACAGCTAAAAGACTGTCCAGAAAAGCACTGCTCCCTTCTATCTTGTATAGGACTTACCCAAGAAGAAGGCAGCCAAACACAGCCCCTGCTCCAGCCCTGTCTGGGCAGCGTGAGGGATGCAGGGAGGGCACAGACTTCCTTGGCTCTCAGGCACAGTGGCAGGAAAGACTCAGTTGGTCCCTGCTGTGGTTATTATTAATAGCAAACCCATCAGTGTCAGAACCTCAGTGGTCAAACTCCTCTGCAGTGCTAACAGACCTCTGGAGATTTAAGCAACAGAGACAAAGATGTCCTCGGACAGCCCAGGATTTCCTTGGGTATCTTGCAGTGGTAGACAAAGGGTTAATGATGGAAAAACACATATAGGTTTAGGGGAAGATTGAAGGACTTTCTTTTCTTAATATATGTTTTTTGCTTCACATCTTAGCTCTTGGCACAGTGTCCCCCGCCTCTAATCACACCTTACAACTGCAGTTTAAATCAAAACCCACAAGGCTGGACCCGCTGGATCCAGTTTCTATTAAGCCATTTGAGCTGTGACTGAGCAGACTTGCTGTCACCAAGCCAGTCCCCTGCCTGTGCCTCCACATCACTCAGCTCCCGCTGCTCGGGGCAGGGGAATCCACAAAATCCCGGATCAGGAAACATCCCCTGCACCGGCCCTCTCCTCTCCCCTGGCTGATGAAGGCTGCACCAGCACGGGAAGAGGCTCTTGCTGGGTTGTAGAACACACCTGAAAAACTTTGGCCATTTCATAGGTCCACAAGAAAAAAAAAAAAAAAGCGGTCGCAAGTTAAAGTGAAATCCCGTTTTTGTCCCTCACTGTAATCTGTTGGGTCATTCATCCCCTAAGAGGCTGCTGGTGGTTTTGCTGGGAAGGGCAGTGCCCAGGCACGGGCGGGTGTGTAGTGGCAAAGGATGAGATCCCACCCTCTCCACAGGGCATCGCTTCTCCAACAGCCACAGCTGATAACATTGCCTGGGACCCCTTCTGCTCTCTGCTGGTGCCAGTGAGGGAGCTGCTCTCCTGATTTTATAGACCTCAAAAGAAAGTCACTGTTTGTTCCCTATCGTGGCACACCTGTCCGAGTCCAGCACATCCCTCTGGCTGCCCTGGCTGTCTCTAGACCCTGGCAGGGGTCTCAGAGACCCTGGCAAGGAGTCAAAAACATCTGTGGCTTCAATTTTAGCCCATGGAAATCTGTCAACTCTGGATGAGGAATTACAAGCCACAAGGGTTTTAGTAGTGTGAGATTTGAACTAACACAGGATGGAAAAGTAGAATTTTGGGATTTTCAGAATGGGGTTCAAGGGGGACAAGATGGAGGGATTTGGGCATGTCCTGACCTTCTTGTTCTTCTTGTCCTCCATGTCTTGCTGTGATAGTGACACTTTTCTGTTGGTTTAAGGTAGGGACACACTGTCCAACATAGATCTTAGGTATTGGTATGGGAACTGTAAACAAGGTACATGTAGGTTTGGGTATATAATGTGGGAGCTGCCCAGGACTCGAGGCCAGACTGCTATGGCTTCTGTACTAGGTGGACCACGGCAGGTCAGAGAGAAAATATTATGGATAAGAGAAGAAATAAACAGCCTTGAAAACACAATTGGAAGCATTCCAACACTCCTCATTTAACTGTCTTCAGGCTGGGGAAGCAAAGATCTCTTTTGGATCTCTCTTGGGGTCACCCTGACCTCAGGAACCCCGAGAGACAAATCCACACACACCCAGCGATGCACACGAGGATATGGAGGAAACAGTCCCCAGCACAATCCCAGCCACCTCTGCCCTGCCCACGGCTGCTCTGGGAACCCTGGAACACAGGCCAGAAGGATGGAGGGGAGAAATGCCTTGGCATCACTGGGCTCTGGTTTAACTCCTACTTGCAGCCATTTTGAACGCTGAATAAAGGAGGAAAAATAACATGAGCCACAAAAATCCAAGCCAGTCTCAGAAGTCAGATGTGTTTGAAAGTGGAATTGCAGCTGTGACAGGGAAGGAGTGCATTTACTAGCACTTCCTGCCTTCTAAACCAGTCACTAAAAAGCAGTCTAAAAAACACCGGTTTGGGTGGGAAGTTTGTTTGGGTGAAATTATTGAGGAGGGAATTGGAATTCTTAAATTTTTTTTTTCTTTCCCTTCATATGTCGCTGAACTGCACAAGACAGCTGCAGACTCCAAACTGTGAATCCCTACTACCAGACTCTGAGCTCCTGAAGCTGATTTTACCACTTCAATAATAAGGGAAAATTATGTGGATTGGTAGCAGAAGAGTTATATGGTGAGTGGAGAGGAATACATCTCCAGAGCCACGTTACTGCTTCAGACACGGCTGCAGCAGGCGACAGCGCCCAGCTCTCCCAGCACAGACAGCTACAATGAATGACCCAAGAGGCCCTGGTAAAAATTAATTGAGTTAATTAATTGAGCATCTGTGGCATGGTTATTTTCTCTGCGTGTCCTGGCTCTTAGTCCTCATTTCTGAGGGGAGAAAGTGCCATTGAATCAATTTATTGGCAGTGCTGGTTCCCTGAGGCAGAGGTTGTCACCCTCAGTGTCCTGGAGGCTCTGAGATGCTCATTGCAGGTGCCTGAGCCTCACCTGGGACTGGGCACTGTTTGACCTTGTGGCAAGGTTTTCTATATGCAG